GGTTTCTCATACATATTTGACAGAGCTGTTAACATACCACGAGCAGTTGTTTCCTTCATGATATTAAACGCCACACTCCTCGTCAAAGCTAGTGTAATTTTACCTCTTGCCTTTTTGTCCTTTGAGTCCCAAATTGCTTCAGCAGCCTTATCCATTCCATCCGGTTTCTCTTCCAGTACCATGTCCAAATCGCACTCACCAAGCAACGCCTCTATTTGCATTTTCCACCATGCAAAATCAGTACCGTTGAACTTCTCGATTCGAACCCTCCCGTCCTCGGCCATTGCAAAACGAGAGAAAAAAAACCAGAGAAAAAATCAAGGAATAACGGCCTGAAACCAAGCAACCCTCAAAAGAAAACAAACCCTAAAACAAAGAACCCGAACCAACGAGTACCAGGTCCAAAACCAGAAACCCTAATCGCCAAGTTCACCCAAAACCGACTGAACAGCCCCTGACTGATCCGAACCAGCCTCTGATCAGATCCGAACCAGCCCCTGATCAGATCTGAACCAGCCCCTTAACCGCGGCAGCAAAACAGCAGCAAAAACAATCCTGAACAGCCTTCTTCCTGCGATTGATCCTGTGTAACCGTGTGTTTAACCGAACCAAAGCTCCGATACCACTTGTTAGGAATCAGAGATCAGAGGCGATCAAGCGGAAGCGAACAAACACACACACACACAAATAGCAGAAAATAAGAACACGAGATTTAACATGGTTCGGTCAGTAACCTACTCCACGGGTTGCAACTAGGGTTTATCTTTTAATAGGTGCTCACAGATTATAGTTACATGATTGGGTATTTATAAGATATAAATTAGGGTTAACAACTTGCTAAACAAGAAACAACTAATGGGCCCTTTAATTAATAACTAAAACCGGCCCCCCATATTTTTTCCCTTTAACCGACCGGGCTTAAAGCCCAAAGCTCTAAAGCCTTCACCAAATAACCCAACAGCATTGTTGTCCTTCACGCATATCAAATGGGCTATATCCCAGGCCTTTCTCTAACGTGCCTTAGCTAGCCAGAGAAGTTGCTTATTACCACCCTGCACTTCTATATCCTTATAAAGGCATTCAAAAGCTACGTTCTTCGCCCTTGTAACCTCTAGCTTAGTTTCCTTACAAGCCGTCTTATACTCCACTTGCAACGCTGCTCTATCCTCTTCATCCCTACATTCGACGCACCTCAACTACCCCACCTTCTTTGCTTCCACCTTTGGATCATATCACTTCACTACCAGTCACCTTTATGCCTACTCCCTGAACCACAGCTCACACCCAACACTTCTCTGGCGCCTTCCGTGATGCTGTTGGCAGTCTGTGCCTACATGTAAGTGGCCTCCTCGCAGGACTCCCACGTGCCTTTCTCTTGCACATGCGCGATCAACTCAATGGTTTTCTCCCCGCCCTAGCTCCTCAACCGATTATGTGCTGGGCCACCTGTAGTTGGCCTCTGCCACACCCACCAGATCAATGCATCCATAAGAATTAGTTTAACATTCTTAGAGAGCACCTGATCAACACACAAGAGGAGGTAGCCGATCGCTTTCCTCTTCACTCTGCTAAAAAAGGTAGCAAGTGATCAACCCGTTTGGAGAAACAAGAGTTATCGACCACCATATCACTCGCTCTGGAAAATTCCAACAATGAAACTCCCGCCGAGTTTCTATCGCCAAAGCCAAACCCACCGTTCATCTCTTCGAAAGGTCTCGACCGAGTCTCCAATATGGCCATTGAAGTCGCCTCCAATGATGACTTTCTCAGTCTGTGGAAAACCACCTATCACCCCATCCAGCGATTCCCTGACTTCCCTCTTAACTTCATCCTCCAAACCAACATGAGAGGCATAGGCACTCATGACATTGATCGCACGTCCACCAAAGACTAGTTTGATGGTTATGAACTGATCACTGATCTTCTTCACCTCCACAACAGTCTCTTGCAGCTTCGGAGCCACCAAAATACCAACTCCGTTCCTGTTCCTAGCAAAGCATGAATACCACAAACTGAAACCGTCAACTTCTCGCGCCTTCAAGAGGCAAAGCAGGCAAATAAGAAGCAAAGCAGGCAAATAAGCTAATCAACACAATAAATCTAGATTATGGTAGCATACCTAATAATTTCCAATAAAAATAATATCAATAAAAACACACAAGAATAGCTAAAAAGAGTAAAACAACAAACAACAAAGCCTTGTCCCACTAGGTGGGGTCGGCTACATTGATCAAACGACGCCATTGCATCCTATCGTGTATTATATTTGTTTGAGATCATTCATGCAAAGGTCTCCCTTGATCACTGCTTGCCAAGTTCTCTTTGGTCTACCTCTTCCTCTAGCCACATGCCTATTCACCATTTGATCAACCCTTCTCACAGGATGCTCTATTGGTCTTCTCTCCACATGTCCAAACCACCTAAGACGTGTTCTCACCATCTTTTCTATAATAAGTGCGACTCCAAGCTAAAAAGAGTAA